GCATGTGCACACTGGAGTCACGCCCGCGTACCGTGAGTATAGAAGGCATCGACCCTGCGAAAGGAGGATGACGCACCTCAAGGTCAGTCTTCGCTGCATTTTCGCAGCGAAATGGGCTTCAACGGAGTGAGTGGAGACGAATGGAGCTCTGGATTAAGCCAGCAGTTCGCTTAAGCTGGTTCAACAGCAGGCGATTGAGAAACGCAACAGTTGAGAACTGCAAGTTTTGTCCCCAACAGACTGGATGGCAGTCTGATCTTGGGCAGGAATAACGTTAGTGAGGTTAGCGCTAAAACATAAGTGCAAATTATGTCAAAGATTGCAATTTGTAGTACAGATTAGAGTTCCGTTTTGCAAATCAAAATAACTGGAAGGAAGCTGCCCAAGGCTGTGGTAACCTCATTGGCTGCCTGTAGGTGAGATTTGATGGAGCCTTAAATAAAACCAAAATGCTCCTGTTGCCTCTTGTAAGCAGGCAGGATATGCGAGAACCAAATCCGCATGAACATAGAGATAGACGCTTGCTAAATGTCCATATGATTTTAAGGTTAAAGCTATCAGCGATTTAGGTTCCCTCAGCAGCCAAATGATTCAAGGTGTGAAAGTACATGTCCGAAATAACTACGCAGTGTTTAACAAATTTTACCAGGTCGCCGCTTAACGTGAATCTTTGTTATTTTATGCATAACACAACGAAATAGATTAAGGGTTAATCTTATACGCAACGTTGTTGGAATAGTAATCATCAGTTACTCCTTTTTATATATTCGGCCAACTTTCTGATTAAGTCGGTTGCAACTAGGCGTTACAGTTCAACACGAAGTAAATCGCTGTTCGGTTACCCTAGCCCGAAATACTTTGCAAATCTGACCGCTTTTAATTTGTATCAGCGGTACTGAGCGCTTCAACAATCAACAGTGCGCAGGTGCCCAGCCTAAAGGTCATAGATTTCAAAATTCGTCCAGGGCAGTCCGCCATCTACCGCCGGTTTGACACACCGTGTCACTAAATTCCAAGGTGAAATTATACCCCCCCCCGGCATCCAAACTTTAGTCTCAACCGCAATCCTACACCTAACCCCGCTTAACATCATCTTAACCATAGATGACCCTAACGCAAACCATGACTGCAAACCCAACTCTAACTCAATTGGGATTTAGCCCAGATTAATTGCACTCATTCATGGATTTAAAAGTTGATGCTAATAGCGGTTTTTTTAGTTTAATTTTCTCAAGACCTTACCGGAAATTGCAAATGAGAAAGATGCAGAAAACACATGCGAGCAGGCCAAATCTTTTTTTGTATGCGGGAGCACGGGTTACGGTCATAGCATGGATTAAACGGTTTTGCAAACGGAACCAGTTGAAATATTAACCTTCAGTAATTTTCTTTGACGTGGTCGGTTGACTTTCCAATGATTTTGTTCCCCTCCAGGCTCGGCAGTCTCATGCATGATTGGGAGGAGGAAGATACATTACGTGACCTATCTCATGAAATCTGATAACGGAAACTAATTAGAGAATATTTGGACGCCTTAAACGTGGCCCATTTTGTTCGCTCACTCACGTCCTTCAATGTAATGTCCTTTTCTTGTTCAAGAAATTGTGTTTACGTAATTATATCAAGAAAAATATCAGCAAATTTTAGCGAAAATGAACTATGGAATATATTCGTGCATTTTCTTATGCTAATACATGCCCTAGACTCCGGTTACGCAGTTAACATACTTTTTCATTGAAAGGATAGCAATTTACCCGCGAGAGTTTTAATAAACAGATTAAGCCGGACTGGAAATTTTACTTCATGTCCGATGTTGGCCATGGTTATCAATCTACTAACGAAAACGTTATTTTAAGAAAACGAGAAGTTTTATCAATTCCTCAATGTGAAATTAGCAGATCTGTGCGAATAAGTGCCCTAAAGTGCAATAATAACGCAGATAGAGATTACTTCGTTTAAGTTGGCTGAAATGTTTTTGCCGTTTGGAAAGTTCTACCTGATGTCACATAGATGACCATCACGGAATGGTCAATTCCAGCTTTAAACATATGAAGCATCACTTTTCGTGTATTTTAGCTTCTGTGCATATCTCATTCAGAAAAAGAACGAGCAAGACATTAATAGTTTCAGCAAAATATCAGTATTTATATGGGCGCCCTGCCGTGCATTCATAATCGAAGAACGGAGTCTAAAAGCGAGCAAAAACAGTGAAAATGCCCTCAATATATAGAGAAAGGCACGTTCTTACGTTCACGGTAGAACAATATTAGTATATCTTAGGAACATGAAAGAAACCGTCAGAAGTGTCAAATTTTTCCTTGGCCTCGCCGTGCAAAAATGTAAAGTACACAGACATCCGTCGACGGAGTGCAGTAATAAAGCACTTCCTAAAGAGGTAACTTATTAAGGAAAGTTTTCTTATTGATCCACGGCATATTTGTTGCTGACATTCGTTGTGGACAGTCATTATTTTCGAAAATGAAGTTTGATGTTTGAATGAGTCTTCAACTTTGACCCAAACGTCCATCTTCGTGAAAAGGAGCGCCTGAACACCAGCTTATTTGATAAATGCCTTCGAGAACAATCTTATTTGACAGTCCTCAACAAACTGGTAATTCAGAATCTGTCTTTATGGGCGATCGGGTGAAAACACTGAAAATCATGAAGTATTCAGCAATATTTCGAGGCCGATCTGAAACTCAGTGTAATCCAAAACGAAAGAAAAGTATAAATTAATTT